TTATCAAGTAGTTTTGTATAAACTCTTAACTATATTTTACCCAATAAAGATAGAGGCAAGACCTCACCTCAACCTACGAGTTGAAATTTCAAAAAAAAAAAGTATCATGCTAACAAAATAAATCTCATCTTAAAATATCTGCAAATATTCTGTTTTTAAGGTAGGGTTGGGGGTACGGAAAATTTTTTGGGTATGCCTAGGAGAGCATGCCTTTGTCGAGGGCATGCCTCTCTGTGCTCTGGGCATGTCCTCTCTATATATCATAATTACTTATATCAAATCAACTATGATAATTGACTAATCAAATCAATGAGACTTCATATGTGAGGTTTTTCTATATAAAAGAGTAGAGGCATGCCTTTTAGCCAAAGGGCATGCTCTAGACATGCCTCCCCGGGCATGCCCCTGAGGCATACCTTGAGACACCATACCTCTAACTCTATTTTAAGGAAACCAAAAAAAATCTTAGTCTAGCCTATTTGGTAAAGTTAAAAGGGACTAATTTACTTTTATTTCTTATTCTCTGAGAAGCACTATCAGATCCAAAATTAATAATACTTTAGTACTAAATATCAATAGTTTAAAAAACTGCTCTCTAAAAAATGATATAGTAGTAGCAAAACTATATATTAACAAAGGAATCTGTACATACTTAGAAATTATCTTTGCTAACAAAGAAAAATTACAAGAGTATGCAGTTAAAAGAGTAGATATCTTTAACAAAATATATCTTGACTCTATTCCTACAAATAATAGAAGATCCTTTCTTCTAGTCAAAATTAGAAACATTCTTCTACTAGAAAAAAATCTAGTCTCTGAAGCTATTAAAGAGGCCTTCAAAGATATGAGAAAAATTGCTTTAATCAAATCACTCTTAATCAAAAGAACTCTTTATTTAACTGACCAATAAGTTATTATTTTTGATATTACAAATGACTCAGAATTAGAAAAAAGAATTCTTTATTTTTATATTCTGCTAGAAAACAAAATTACTACAGAATAGAAATCAGCTCCTAAGGTTTGCTTTTTTTGTAACAAAGAAGGTCATGCCAAAAGAGATTGTAAACAACACCAAGAAGCTTTAGTACTTCATCACTATTTTAAGGAGTACCAAAGTAATAAGAATAAAGAAAAAACTTCAGAATCTACCTCAAACTCATTAGAAGAGAAAACTATATTAGCTTCTTCATTTTTAACTCAAGAAATATATACAGATAAGCATCCTAAAAACTCTTCTTCAGAAGAGCAACAGGACATCTATAGAACTAATAAGAGTAATAATACTCAAGCTAGTATATCAAAAAGAATAGAGAATATAACTCTAACTACTGAAGATACAAACATAATAGACAATACTATTTCTAACAAGAAAATAGCACAAGAAGTAACCTTTTCTATAGTTATTATTAAAAACAATAATTAGAAACTACAAGAACTTGATCATTCAAAAGGAGAATATATAATCACTATAAACAAAAGGAAAAAAGACAAAAAGAAAGTAGCTGCACAAAAACAAGAAGAAATAAAAATAGCTTCTTATAAGAAAAAAATTCGTAATAAAAGCCAAAACATATAGATTTAAAATCTTACTTCAAATCAACTCTTATGTTTAAAAACTTAAAGATAAAAATTAGAATTCTAAATATTAAAGGACTAAACAATTAACAGAAATAAAGAAATACTTTTATACTTCTTAAGTTTTATAATCTAGATATTATAATGCTTCAAGAAATAATAATGATACACAAACTTTTTTACAATATAATAGACTTTTGATTCAATATAGTTAAACAAAACAGCTATATTAGCAGGCAACAAAAATATAATCTTCCAAAACTCTAAAACAGAAGCAAATAGCAGAGTTATAATTACAAACTTTAGCTATAAAGATTTAACTTTCTAGCTCACAAATATCTATGTATCTCCTAGTCAAAGTGAATGATCAATTTTTTTTAGCAACTAGTTTTCTTAAACAAAAGAAAATATAATAAATATCATTACAAAGAACTTTAATACCAATATACATTCTAAATATGATAGAATTAGTAAGTCTTCACTACAGAATGATCTAACAAAAACTCTGTTTAAAGATCTCACAAAAAACTTCATCGACTTCTTAGAGTTTACAACTAACAAACTATTCTATACCTTTTTTCAGAATACAAAAAAAAGTAAAATGATAGCAACTTACATAGACTATATCTTTATAAACAAAAACTATTTTAATCTATTCAAAAAACTAATACTAAATATAGCAACTCTGACCACCTTCTTGTAGAATGTATATTAAAGTTTATATCAGACACAAACAAGTTACCTTTGTAGAAATTAAATAAAAACTACTTCTATAACAAAAGACTAAAAAAAGAAATAATAGAAGAAATACAAGAAAATGAAAATACAAATAATTAGGATTTATGCAAAATATATATCTAATTAATCATTAAGACATTCAAAAAACTGAAACTTCCAAAAAGCAAAATATCAATACTTAATAAACAAATCACTTGAATAAACAAAAAACTTGTTGAAAATTCTATGAATAGATATCTTTATACTTAAGCAGACAATCTTAACTCTAAACTGCAATAAGAACTTACTCTTTTGGCAGAAAAATAGCAACTCTACTCTAAATAAAATAGATAGAGCAAGGAAAAAAGTTAACAAAATATTTCTTTTCAAAATATAAATCTAGAAAATCTCATTTAGCTCTTAGTAAAATTAAAGATTCTCGAATACAGCTTAGAACAAAAATAGTACTCTTTCTTACATAAGAGAAAAATACTCAAAAATTTACAAAAAAGAAGAGATTAATTTAGCTACTACTAATAAAATTATTAAAGAAGCTCTACAAGTTATGAAACTACAGAACTTTTTATTAATACAAGAAATCTCTCTTGAAGAAATAAGAAATATAATCAGAAGCCTTCTAAATAACAAATCACCTAGTTCTGATGATTTTACTTATGAGTTCTATAAGCTTACAGAAGAAGCAATCATACCTCTACTATATAATCTTTTTAATCAAATGCTACTTTCAGGTCTTTTGTCTAAATCCTAATATAAAAACCTAATTATACTTATTCTAAAAAAATCTTTAGATTTGGAAAATTTAAACAATTAGAGACTAATTTCTCTAGTAAACAGTAACACTAAAATTTTTATAAAAATTTTAGCAAACAGACTAAATACATTATTATATCAGGAAGTAATCTCTTCACAACAATAAGGCTTTATAAAAAACAGATTAATATCAGACATAATAATAGATATCATAACAACTCTAAAAAGTTAATAAGACAATACTAGGCAATATTGGATACTTTTCTTAGATCAACAAAAAGTATTTGATTATATAAGCTATGAGTTTCTAGAGCTAGTTTTAAAAAAAATGAACTTTGACAAGAATTTTATCTCTTTAGTCAAAAACCTCTTTACAAATTAAAAGCTTATATTCTTGAAACTGAAAAACTATCAAAAGCTTTTAAAATAGAGAGAGGAATAAGATAGGGAAACCTACTTTTATCTCTTCTATATATACTCGCTTTCGAACCTTTACTACTAAACTTAAAAAATAATCTACAAGACATTAAACTAGAATACTAGTTTTTCAAACTCATAGTCTATGCAAATGATCTCACAATAGGAATTAGCTTTCTCTTAAATTGAGAATATACTTTTAAACTTCTAAAAACTTATAAACAAGCTTCTAACACAAAAATTAACAAAACTAAAACAAAACTTATTCCTCTTATATTAATAGCATTCAGAGTAAAATTATCACAGTCAAATCAATTATATATAGTTAAGAAAAATAAACTTGTTACAATACTAAAAAGGATCTTTGGACATCTACTATAAGTAATCTTAAAACATCACTTAATAAACTTGCAAACAGAAACCTATCTTTTAAAAGAAAAATTTTGCTTGCTAAATCACTTATATTGTCAAAAATCTAGTATATAGCTTATCTTCTTTTACCAAATAGAAAGCAGGTAGCTAAAATAAATAGATTAATTTCTTTATAGATCAAGAGTAATTCTTATATATTTCTGAGGTACTTAGACTTTCAACAATCATATGAGTAACTTAGTTTATAGACTCCTATAATCAAAGATATGCTAGACATATAGCTAATAACAGTTTGGCTTAAACTATTCTTATCTGAATACTTCTGAGCTAAATATGAAAGAGAAAAAATTAGATCAATTCTTAGAGATAAAAGAGATATTTTACTATTACAAGTACTAATAGCTGATAATATTTAATCTAAAGCCTAGCCTACAGAATAGAAACCTATTCTTTTAGCAAGGAAAAGAGCAAAAAGAAAAATTCTAGCTAATATAAACTAGTTTTAGAATAAAGAAGAAATTATACTAATAACTTTAAAGGATACGAAATTATAGTAAACAAAGTTTTGCAAATATTTTAAAAGACAGAGCCTAGTTCTTCTCGAGAATATACAATATCAGACTTATTAACAACAAATTGGCTATCTATAAAGACAATTATAAACAAGAAAAAAGATATATACTAGTACCTCTTTCATAGGTTCCTTTCTCTTGGTTATAAACTCAAATACATAGAATTACTTGAAGCAGAATTTTGCTTCTAGTATACTGAGAAATCTTAAACACCAAAACACTTTGCAATAGACTATAGATTGAGTGAAAAAATTTAGGAAATAGCATATAGATTTCTTAACTTTAATAAATTAATTAACTACTCTTCAAACTTTAAAGAAATATTCTTCAGATCAAGTATACAGATCTCTTTTTAAAAACAAGTACTAAACTGGCTACATATCACAACAATCTATGAACTCTGGTACTATTATGCCTTACTTAAATAAGGTAACAATACTTTTCCTATTTTTATATTTCTAACAATTATTAAAAATCAAATTTCTAAAGAAATTCTAAGACTTCATAAAATATACAAAACAAAAAAGTTATTAGAGAAAAAAACTTTATATAAATACTTAAAATACTCATTATAAGTTATTAACTAATTGTAAATAAAGAGTGCTAATTGCATTCCTAGCTTTATAAAGCTTGGGTTATAAAAAAAAAAAAAAAAAAATATATATATATATATACATATATATATTACATATATAAAATAAGAATTTCTTTCTTTTCTAATTTATTATCAACCTGTTTTTTAATTCTCAAAATTTTTTAGTTTAAAAAAAGACTAGAAAGTTTCTCTCATAATAGAAGTTTATATCCAGAAATTGCAAGTTAAAACAAATTAATTGTAAAAGGATTTTCTATAGATTTAAATGAAAAATAACTCATAACCTAAGCTTTTAAAATAGCTTTATTTAAAGACTATTCTTATACTTCAGGGATTGGTTTAAATTTTTGAAAATAAGTTATAATTTCAGATTGATTATGTTTTATTTTTTGTTGTTTAGAGATTTTATCCTCAGTAATATAATTTCTTCAAAAATACTTAATATCATCAGAAATATATTGATATTGTTAAGTAAGATATATATATATATTATTTGGTCATCTTCTATTTCAAATAAAAGAATACTATTCATAGCTAGCTTTATAATGTCAATTGTCTAAACTCATATTTTAATTAAGATAATTCTAAATATTATCTAGTTTTTTACTACTAGCACTTTTGCACTTTGATTGATTTGATTCATTTACTTCACTAATTTCTTGTAGTTCATTTTCACTAATACTAGTAGTTTTAGAATTTTGTGAAGCTATTAATTTTACAAAAAGATTATTATTACTATTAAATATATAATAACTAGTAAATTATATATTATTACTTTTTTAGTTTATTATAACTAGTATTTGATTTGATTTTGATATATCAGATTTAAATATTATATAATAATATAGACCAAGTTCATAAGTATAAAAAAGTTAAATAATTAACTAAACAATAAGCAAAATTACTAACTACTTACCTTCTCTTATAATATTTTAAACCTACTAAATCCTTTCTCAAAATATAATCTCAATAATAATATCATCTACATTAAACTAACTCTATATCAATTATAACCAACTAATTAATATCAAATACAAAATACAAAAAGAAAACTAACAATACAGACTCTGTATTAACTAACAAAAAATTTAAGCTTTATATAAAATATACTACTCTTTCTCAACACTCTTAATACATATTCTACTAGATATAACAATTTCATAATCTGATATATCTCTTATTCAAAACACAATTACAAATTCAATCTACTAAAATCAAATCATAAACCTCAATAATCAAATTCTACTTCTAAACTCAGATAATCTATACTTCTATACTAATGTATCTATTAAAAACTCACAAACTTCAAATATCAAAACTAGTATTGCTTGAATACTCCAAAATAATATTTAAATCAAATTTAACATATCAATTCAAAATATATCAAACTCTACAAGAGCAGAACTTTTAATATTCATCTTTCTATTTTTAACTCTACTAACTAACTATTAAATTCATATTTATTTAGATAATCTCTTTGTAATTCAAATACTAAAAAATAATCTACTCTATAATTGCCTTATATAAACTAAATAAAACAACTAAGATAGAAGTCTATATTAGATCTTATAGCCTAGCTTAGCCTGGTTTAGCTTGCAAATTTTTGCAGACTAGACCAGATCTGAAGTAAAATTTTATAATTGTAGACCAATGCAAGTCTAAAAATTTTTAAAAATTTATAATAAATTTTGCATACTAGGATAAGTTAGGCTAGTTTGAAGAAAAATTTATATATATACAGGCTAGGTTAGGCTAGCAAAAAAAATTTAAAATTAAGTATAGACTAGACCAAGCTGACAAAAAAATTTTAAAACTAAATATAGACTGAACTAGACTACAAAAATAGTAATTTGCAAATCTCTAAACTGAAATATTATTTATATACTAACTTTTTAATTAAAAAGAAAAATATATCCCCTAAATTGTATTGTAGTCAAATTTGCCTGCAACTTTTAAAAATAATTTTTAATATCAGATAAAAATTTTAAATATTAATTTTAATTATATATTTATTAATTAAAAAATAGTTTTAAATATCTGTTTTATAAGAAACTTTTTCAAATTTATTAGATATCTTTTGAGTAATAAAGCTTTTTTTTTTTTTTTTTTTGTTATTAAGGTGGCTTACATTGCTAAAGGAATTTTATTAGAATTGCATACAGGATATACATTGATAGTTCCTACTGTTTGTAATTATATGAAGAGTGTATAACAAGCTACACATACAACTTTAGTCATTATCTAATTTAAGTAGTCTGCCACATAGGTGATTAGACCACCTGATTAGTTCTACACTATGCTACTATATCTGTAACCTGCCTGTGAGTTACCTATTTAAATACTCTGTTCATTAAGCCATACAGATCTAACCTAATATTACTGCAACACCTAACCACTTAAGCCAGCTAGCTCATTACAGATCTATTTATTCAGAACGGCTTAGGTCCTCTTAGAATACATTGTACCTAATGCATTATAGATACTGCAGAGCTAGTTAACCTCAAAGCAGTCCGTATCTATTTTACAGATTCACCTAGTTTAGACCCTTGTAGATGTTTATACAACTCCAGTTCCTACTGTGGCTCTCCACTAGTTTTTTGTATTCTATAATCTCAGATGTTTTATGAAGCAGATCCTTCTAATCCAGTTAGCTGCCAAACCAGGTTAGTGTTACTATTCTCCCTGTAGACCAGATTTATATACACCTGCCTCGATCTGCTTCTTTTGATAATAGTTTCCTTTCTGGATCAAGTGTTAGCTGGTGTAACCGTTGAAGGCTGTACTACTTCACTAACTCAGGATTTCTACTATGCAGGTTCCTTGCCCATAGATCCTATCAAGATTTATTTATATAATGTTATATCTCACCAAATGCCTCATCATACTTCCAATATTCGGATGATATTTGTGCAACTGATTTATAGAGTTACAACTCCAGAAATAGACAGAGTTTACTATAAGTTAAGTACAAAGGTCTAGGTAATTATTCAAATTCGTTGACAGTAGGATTTGAACTCTAGACCTTTTGCATAGCGATTTGGCAACCTAACTACTACACTAAGATCACCAGATCTATGAGTAATAAAGCTTTAAAGTTTAGCTTTAAGAATTTTTACTATAAAATTTTTTCTTCTAAAATTTATAAATTTTATATGTTCTCAAAGCTAAAAAATTTTTTTACTTCTAAATCTGGTGATCTTAGTATAGTAGTTAGATTACCAGACCACTTTGCAAGAGGTCTGAAGTTCAAATCCTACTATTAACAAATTTGAATAATTATCTAAATCTTTGTACCTAACTTACAGTAAACCCTGTTCGTTTCTGAAATTGTAACCCTATAAATTATATTGCATCAATATCATTCAGATATTAGAAGTATGATAAAATGCATAATGTTATATGAATAAATCTTAATAGGATCTATAGCAGAGGACCTGCATAGTAGAAATCCTGAGTTGATGAAATAGTACAGCTTTTAACAGTCACACTAGCTAATACTTGATCTAGAAAAGAAACTATTATCAAAAGATGCAGATCGAGTTGGATGCACATAAATCTATTCTACAGAGAAAATCAATAACACTAACCTAGCTTGGTGGCTAACTAGATTAGAAGAATTTGCTTCATGAAATATCTGAGAAGATAGACACAGAAAACTAGTGAAGAGCTATGGTAGGAACTAGGGTTGTATAAATATCTACAAGGGTCTAAACTAGGTGAATTCATAAAATGGGTACAGATCACTCTAGTAGATATACTTTTGAGATTAACCAGAGCTCTGCAGCTCATAATATATAGGGTATATATATATCTCAAGAGGATCTAAGCTATACAGAGAATAGATCCACAGGTAAACCAGCTGGCTTAAGCAGTCAGTCATAGTGATAATATTAGTTTAAGATAGGAGGAAGAGTTAATAATCAGAATGTTTAAATAGGTAACTTATAGGTGGGTTGCAGATATAGCAGCATAGTGTAGAACTAACAGATGGTCAATCATCTGTATAGCAAACTACTTAAATTAGACAATAACTAAAGTTATACATATGGCTTGTTGTACACTCATCATGTAACTATAAAACCTTAGGAAACTATTAATATAATAGTTCCATAATAACAAACTAATAAAATCTAATCAGCTAAGGAAGTAGCCTTAATAACAAAAAAAAAAATTTTTTTACTTCTAATACAAGTCCAAATCCTTTTAATTAAATCATAAAAGTTGTAATAATA